AAATAATGTGAAAAAAATATCGCACTACCCTCATATAATTTATCAATATAGTTAGACAATTTTATAATGAATTAAGATAATAGGGTTACTCTACAAAAATATAAGAGATATTAAGTTTATGCGTAGAATTTTAGGTGTACTCATATGAGTACAGTGACTTCTAATGGGTTAAATTAAGTTTGTTTTTTTGGTATGAGTAATGTGACCAATGTCATTATTAATTTTCTAACTGCGATCTTAATATTCCGACTTGTTCTATTTACCTACATAAATATTTACATCTTTAAATTAACTACTACTAAATTATTGAATAAAAAGAAAGTAAAATAAAGAAAACCACAAAAATTGCTTGGAATATTCACTAAAATACTCTTAGAAAAATTGTTGTAAGTAACAACTTGTTATATTCTTTTAAATAAACTTACAGTTATGAGTCGACTACCTGCACGGTTCAATCGACTAACTATATCAAAGGAACTCTATGGAACTACAACCAGTGAGAACTCTAACACTATAGCTGTCAAATTCTTTTCTACTCACGCCATTTCTGGTGCACGTGTATTATTTACGAAATTGCTCGATATTTAAACTAAAATGGATAAGCCAAACGTTCTTGCTCGTGTTGTCAAGGTTTTGGGCCGTACCGGATCCCAGGGACAATGTACCCAGGTGAAGGTAGAGTTCATCGGAGAAACTAGCCGTCAGATCATAAGAAATGTGAAAGGACCAGTGCGTGATGGTGACATCCTGACTCTTCTCGAGTCTGAGCGTGAAGCCAGAAGACTGCGATAAACGGTAAATTCGTATTTTCATTCAAAGCTTAAATTAAACGTTTAGGGTAAGATTCATTCAGATAAGCTTTCTATTGAACGAAACGAATTTTTTGAGGTTATGTTGCCTATGTTAGGCGGCGTTCTAAACTGTAATTTTCTTCTCTAAATTAACACGCTATTACATGAAAACCCAATTTTATAAAGTTAAACTATGCAAAGTTTTCTCTTATCTGTAAAATATTGTTTATATTCATTTAACAAGTTGTTAGTCACAATAGCCATGTTATATATTTGTTGTGGTATTCACTGCATTATTGAAACAAAAGCTTATCAACTGGAATTCATCCATTATTAAACAAAAGAGAAAACTTGCCGATCCTCATATTTAGCAAGAAACTTGGGACTACATGTAGGTCACCAACAACTTAAGAATGTGGTTGCTGGTCATGCCTCGGTGGCTTTTACCAGTTTTAAACTGTGAAACATCTAGCGGTCACTGGTGACCGCAACCTATTGTTCTATAATGACGGTACTCAACGAGTTAAAAGCTTTAGATAACCGAACTGAATTCATACATCTATTATGTAAATTTATGTTGTGGAAGCTATCAGGCAGTCACAATAGCTTCTCTATACAAATAATGCTGATATTGTGAAACTTTCAGTTTGTTTTAAAATATATTGTGTTTTGTTTCAGGTTGTGGCTAGCTGCTGATTAGATTAAGGCTCTTACCATCTATCCAATTATTATCAGATGGGGCCTAACAGGACTGATGCCGATACGGAGCCACGAAGGACCTAACGGGTTGCCGGGCCTCCGGCTCAAAGTGCAGGAGTAGGAACGGGGTGTTTTAAGTCAGTAAGAGTGTGACACTCCCTCTCGTCTCACCCGTGCGGGAGGTTAACTTAAAGAAACCGTCAAAGATGACCATCTCATTGTACTGACACATAATAAACAACTTACCGGTGTATGTCTTGTCTTATTTTTCATAGCTACTTTCACATGGTTTTAAGTGCTCTGCTTAGATCCTATTATTCCTATTGATCATAGCATGATGTTTTATAGCCTATAGCTATCCAATAAATACATTAAACTGTCAAACACTAAGCGGTCACCGGTGACCGCAACCTATCCTAATAATAATAATAACTATAATATTATAAATGTGAAAGTAACTCTGTCTGTCGGTCTGCTACTCTTTCACGCCAAAACTACTGAACGGATTTGAATGAAATTTGGTATACAGATATTCTAGACCCCGAGATAAAACATAGGCTACTTTTTATCGCGAAAAAGGGGTTAAAAGGGGGGGGGGAAGTTGTATGGGATTTCATAATTTTTAAAGATAAATCCATGAAACTTTATATTTAAGCACTTGATAAAAAATAAAACATTTGTTCTAGTGTTTTTGAAATTTCGACCTGTGAGGGGATGAAATAGGGGTTGAAAGTTTGTATGAAGTTCGTCATTCTTGAAGATACCTTACATTTTATATTTAGGCACTAAATAATAAACAAAAAATCGTTTGTTCTAGCATTTTAAAATTTACACCAGCGTGGGGGTGAAATAGGGGTTGCATGTGGGTGTTCGTCTTTTTTGAAGATAAAACCATGTAACAAGTTACATACAACTTTGCACATCCTAAGAGACCTATGTACCAAGGTACATAGGTCTCTTAGGATGTGCAAAGTTTTTATATAAGTAGGTACCAAAGGAATTCCAGAAATTGTAACTTTTGTTTTGTATCAATAAAAAAATCGACTTTTGAAGTATCTATCAACGCACAGCCCAAACCGCTGGACAGATTGGGCTAAAATTTGGCATACAGATAGATGTTATGACTTAGGCATCCGCTAAGAAAGGATTTTGCTAATTTCCACCCCCAAGGGGGTAAAAAAGGGGATGAAAGTTTGTATGAAACTTTGTCAGTTTTTAACTGATCGGGTTGAAATTTGGCATGCAGATAGATGTTATGACGTAAGCATCCGCTGTGAAA